CTATATACATTATGTCGATTACAGAAGGTCAAAATAAGGACAAAACTCTCAATGAGTCTGAAAGAAAAATATTCAAAGTAACAAGAGTAAGAATGGAAGCAGCAACTCTATGTTCCAGAGGCAATGAGATTTTATGCCTAACTAAACTATTGATCAAGTGTGTGGGTATACTGAAGATAGTTTAAGATAGTCAAGGTCTTGTGTTTTATAAATGAGTTACTGGAGGTTGTTACATAGAGATAGAAGAGATTAAAGCAAGAAAGAAAAGGCCTGGGATTTGGAAGACAGTGAACACAGCTCAGAAGTTCAGGGAAAGGATATCACAGGGTGATAAAGGTGAAGCCTAGAAAGCAACTAGTACAAATTGTAGTAGGATGATGGAAGGACTCCAGAAGATATTTTGGGGGAAAAAACAGGGAGTCGCAGACTAAAGTACATAGGCTGTTTAATTGAGAGGATTAAAGCCCTTGATGATGTAAAGGTCCATAAAGCAAGAAAAAAATAAAACTCTGGGGGAAAAACATCTGTACAAGATATTCACAATCCCAAAATGTATCAAACTAAAAGAGAGCATGATTATAAGCAAACGATGAAGCATAAGCTTTAAAAATAAGAACATAATAATCTGTGTGGCCCATAAGACATAGCATTGGACCATGGATAAGTTAATCCAATCTAGCACATTACTTGATGAAACGTTCCATAATATTTACATGATCAACATAAAGTAAATGCTGATGACTGATTTTTTTCACATTTAGATTCAAAATATGGTAGAGGGTGTGGAATAGAAAACTAGACTGTGGTTTTGAAACAACGTTAACTTACTAATATAACCTTCAAATGTAAAAGGAAGGAGAATCTTTTTCACCAGGATCAAGGAGCATTACTCTCTTAGAGTCATGGGTTATGATACTCTAAGGACAGAGATGAACATCTCATACTTGGTGCTGTGTTAAGCAACCTTACATAATCATAATTGTATGAATGCTGGTTTTTTTGGTTTTTAACTTTTAGAGTCAACCTATAAATAAATCATAATTACAAAAATCAGTGAAGTAATATAAATTTTCATGATGTAAAAGTAAAGATTCAATAGCAAAGGCAGAGGAGGTGAAAGGGGAAGAGGACACTAAATTTCTCATCTTGTCAATGAAGGCCTGGAGTTTCAATTTTCTATGGTTAGTAGAACAATAAATAGAGGTTTAAGTATGTTTCAGAGGAAGCCAATGGTCATGGCAAGACAAGCTGTATTTGAGTATTTGGGGAGGAGAAGGGCCAGGTTGATGGGGTCTAGTTCAACTGAGTCAGATTCAATATAGAATAAATTAGGTAATATAAATACATTATAACATTAAAGGTAAGAAAGATATTGACAAAAATCTATGCCCCAAATAACAATAATGTAAGATATGGAGGCAACCACCAGAAGAACCACAAAGAGAAACCATCCCAAATGGTAAGGAGAAAAACTGGAACGAAGCAGGAAAACACTGGTTTTCATCATAAATCCTGGAGGAATACTAGTTAATCCTTAAACTAGTTGTTTCCTTTTAAATATACTGATTAAAAATAGATGTAGTACAGTATTACTATCAATTTCTGCTAATACCATCCAGTATGGTTTTGTCTATATAAAGATGAATGAAGCCACTTTCTAAACATACAAGCCTCTCTAACTCGTCATTTTGGTACACCTAAGGAAATACTCATTGCTCCTAAAATACCAAACAATTGTTATCTTTTCTAAACACTGTATTGCCAAGTGTTTTCTGTTCTTGGATGTCAATGCTGCTATTTGAAAGATTACATAAGGTAGTTTGGCTGGCACTAGAGAGCTATTACCTCAGTTCCAAAAGCAAGTAGAAGATACGTACAAACACACCTACTGCCCTAAAGTGTACCCTCTTGCCTATAATTTACATATTAAACTGATTGGAGTTTTGTTTTCCATAAGAGGCTCAATGTAATAAACACATACATTTGAAAAGTTCTTGCCATTCCTTTGGCAAATGTGAAAGCACCTGGAGAGATTGAAGGCTTTTCAGAAGCCACCACTGCCATGGTACAATGATTGTAACACCCACTGGAGCTATTACGATTTCTTTCCACTGGGTGATCATTCAGAACTATCTGCTGGCCCCTTTTTGGCATCACAATGCACCCTTCTTAATAGTCATATTAAAGAAATTAGGAAATGCAGCCCCATCAAGTGACTGTTTCCAGATCTAAAATCTAGCCAATGAAATCACGTATTGGCCAGGTCTCCATGAATCCAAAAAGCAGGTTTTGAAGAAAGGGTTTGTGACTGAGTTTAGACTGTGTGATATTGGGGCAGTTTTCTTTTTACATAAAGTGCTTGTGAATATTGTTCTGCTGGGCATTTAAAGTCAAATAAACACAGCCTTTCCTGCCCTACAGTGAGGGCTCAGTAAAGGCTGGATAAATTCAGAGCTCAGGCTTCTCAACATGTTGGGAACAATATATAAGAGTAAACACTTAGAAAAGCAGTTGTGATCCTGCCAAGCCCCTCCCAGGTATCTGGAAGCATACATATAAGACCCAAACCACCACACACAGCTATCCCAAATCTTGGTATGTTATTCTAGATGTGAAAAATTAGACAATTTAAAGAATTTGACACATATTCTTTGGGCAAATGCACTGCAGAACAGATTTAAAGGCCACTATCCCTCTTTTCAAACAATTCTTCTCCTTGAAAGAGTTAAGTCATTTTACTTGGAGAAATTAACCATTTAACTGTTTATCATTCATTTATTTTACATATTTTTTCATAACCAATTAAAAACACTGATTTCATTGCTTTTTTCTAAGTCTTTGCCTTAGATATGCTAAGAAAATGGGCTTAAATTACTAAGTTTGATTGAGCCTGCATTTTCAAAAAATTGGTTTAATGCTTTTTACTCAGTTAAAAAAATCTTAGAAAAAGCCTTACAAAAAATTCACAGTTAAAACTGAAACAAGCCCAAGAAGTGACTATATTTGCATAACTTGATCTGTATCTGGAAGAAAATTCCACTGAAGACAGCAATGGAAGCTTATCAAATCAGAATTTCACATAGATTTTCCATAGCCCTGCTAATGAATACTGACTCACTGGTCAGCTATGGTGAAAATTTAATGGAGCTCTAAGATAGGAAATGTACCATCGGAGTGTGTTCAGTGGTTCCATTACATCAGTATGAAAACTGTATTAGGCATCCAGTTTCTCTGCTGCTTTCTGAGACCAATTCTAGAGCACTATGGTTATTAATTCTTTAGCATTTTGATTGGGACCACTGAATTAAAACCCCTTTTATTTTGCCACAGTCATGAAAGGTTTCGACTTTATGTCAAGTTGAGATTGTTTCGGCTACTAATCTGGTTTTGTATTTTGTCAAGATGGCAGGTAACATGCTACTGAATCCTTTCTAAGAAAATGACAATCTATGGGATAAATTCTAAGGTAGAACTGAAGGTGCCATTATATCATTATATGAAATTGGGTCTGTAGAGGAACTAAGACTGTCAGTGGCACTGAAAAGGACATCTTCAGAGAGTGAAAGTCTGAGATAAGACTGATTTAAAGCAGGTGTTAGGTCTACCCACAAATGCTCACATTCTAAGAATTTTCTACTCTATTAGTGAGTGATATGCATGCTTAGGTTTCATAACATTTCACCTTCCACGATTGGTTCAGAATATTAAAATGATTTTTGTGATATGTTCACCTCTTTGAAAATGGACTGAAATTGACAGGCCAAACAATTATTGTAAACTATTTAAATAATTCTCATATACTAAGTGGTACTGAAAATATTAAGATCTGCTTTGCCCTGTTTCTGCGAAATAGTTGTGAATTAAATCATCTCTTGGTTTCTTTAAGGATCAGTCTTTCAAATTTGTCCTCAAAGTTTACTTTAAGACTGTTTTAGCCCAGTTTCAAATTCTTTCTTAAATGTAATTTAAAAAATATATCCATCAATTAGAAAATTTGAAAACCAGGGAGAGTAACATACTTGATGTGTATGTCTTCTTCTTAGGAAAATAATACATTTTGCCTGTGTGATCTATGAAATGATTTCCAGTCAGAGAAATCTATAATCACTGGTTTTATCTATCCATTCTTTCATCTATCTGATACACTAACAGTAGTAACAACAGTAATGAATAATAGTATTAATAATAGCAAAGAACATTTACTGAATACCTGTGTTCCAGAAACTCTGCTAAATCCTTTACATGGATTATCTCATTTTTTTTCTTTCAGTGGCCCTCTGAGTGGTAAGTATAAATATTCCCATTTAACAGAAGAAATACCTGAGGCTTAGAGAGATAATAACTTGTTCAATGTCAGTATTAGCAAGTGGTAAAACCAAGGTACAAACTCCAATTATAGTCTAACGCCAGAGTCTGCTTTTCTATTCTGGTAGCTGGGTTGGTCTACAATATTTTATTGTTTACTTCAGATATATTTTCAAAAGTACCTACTTATTTCAGTTTAGATTGACTTCTTGGTCCTTCAGCTCTCAAATCTATATGTTTTCATGACACTAGTTTGTCTTGGACTTCCTTCCGGCACTTACTTCAGACCTTATGACTAGGTGATCTGATAACTTATTATCCAATCAAAACACATCTGAGAGTGAAAAGGTCTGCTGTTATTAATTATGCTGGGACAAGAGGTTTGTCCAGGCACATGGGGACACGGGGTCATTCTGATGGGCCACTAGGGTATTTCTTCTCTGCTCCTAGTCCAGAGCCCAGGTCCTCTGAGGTCAAAACTAGGTTTTTTTTTTTCAATGATCCTATGCTACAACCTTTATTTTCTCAAGATTAGTTTTCTGGACAACTATTTTTTTCCTCTGTTATAGAGCAGAACATTTAATAAGGAACCTAAAATAATAAAATATCCCAATACCCTTTGGAGCTGAATAACTATGGACACAGAGGCACATTCATTTATCATTGTTACAGTAAAAGTATAAAATGTTCTATACCTTTAATAAGTCCTTTTTCTTGCAGACTTTTCAGGGAAGGCCTTCGGGTAATAAACTTCTTTAATCTGCTTTTAACTCGTTTTTTGTCGCTTGTATCAGAAGCACTATGTTGCAGTCTAAACACTGAAAATTAAAAAAAAAGTCAGAAGCTTTCAGTAAATTTTTTCCTTTATGATTATTACTTTATGCAAATATGAATAGAAAACAGTAGTTATGGAACAACTACCTGAATTAATAGCTCAGGCCCTTCTGTTTAGATAGGGCATAGGAGTAAAAATTTGCCCATATGAAAATATTAGCTCTGTTGCAACATGAATGTGTAATGAGAATGTAGTTAGCTCCATATATTCACAATTTATTTTCACATTCATTCCCTCAAACTTACCATGCTAACCTTTATCTGGATAATTTCACCTATCTGTATCCATATACAAAATTGTAGAAAAGAAAAATTCATCTAAATTGGAGGTGGGGGAGCTCTTTAGAATCGTTCATGTCAATTGATTATGATTATATACTGTCTGTAGGAAATTTAGGCATTTTCAAAGGTCCTGGCTGCCCAAATAATTTTGGCAATCTTCTTTATTAAGTTAACCCAAAGTGATTTCTTTTTCGGTAGCAGATACTTCTTACTCTCCTTATTGATGTGAAATTACCACTAGGTGAAATTCTGTAACACATACTGCCTCAAATTTTGCCATGTCTTCATCAGGCTCTCATCCTCAGCTTCCCATCCTCACTGCCAATTTCAAAGTTAGGTGTGTGCCAAATTCATTTCCTAAGTAAATGTTTGCTGAATGTCCGCTGATTATCAGATGCTATGCTAAAGGCTATGAATTCGATGATGAACATTATACTTAAGCTCCATGCCTTCATTAAGCATAGAGTCTAAATACATTCAAGGTATCTTATTATTAATCACTTTATTAACAGAGTTATTAATAATGATCATTATTATTAATGATTCATGAAATGATAGGAATTTATCATCTCTCTGACATGAGATACAGATCTTAATTGGGCCCTTCTCTATCTTAACCCAATTTCTGACATCATGTGAGGACCTGGGGCACTTAACTAAGAATGTAGAGGTTCTTTTCCTTTCAAATCATATTTTGGAATAAGCCAGTCATTCAATTGGGTTAATAATAATATGAGTAAAATATATTGAGACCTTCCTATGTGCTTCATACTCTGTTAAGTATCTAACATGATTTGACTTAATTCTACTGCAATGTAAGCTCCACATGGGCAGGGATTTTTATCTATTTTTATAAATGTTCTTACTTAATGTGTTCCTAATACCTGAAACATTGTTTAGCCTATAGTAAGTGTTAAGTTAATATTTGTTGAATCAAATCTCAGAATGACCTTTTAAAGTACATAAACTAATTCCACTCATTTTAGAGATGAAGAAGCTGAGTCAAAGAGGTGAAGTAACTCGTCCCAGGTTAAGTCTGGATATAGGCCTAGTCTCAAAGGGTTTTATCTAGTATTCTAATGTATTGGATTATTGGCAAAAGAATGGAAGGGGGAGACAAACAAAAATATCAGGAGCTCAGTCAGTCATTTAAGGTAGAATGGTTTTAATCAACTAAAAATTTTTAAGTAGCTATTGGGTGCAAAATGTTTTGCTAAGATATAGTTATAGGAGAGCTAGACTTGAGCCATTCTATCCCTTCCTAAGGAAAACAGAAGGAAAAAAGAGAGACTTAGGAGGGAACTGCAGCTGGAAGAAAATAAATTGCCTGAATTAGAGGATCTGAAGTCAAATTTTCCTGGTAGGGTCTCCAAGGAACCCACAGAAGTGCCTGAGGGAGAGTGTCTGCTTTAAAAAGCCTGCCAGGCCCAGAGTGTGAGAAGCCTTCTTATAACTGGTCAAATAAGGACATTTTTGCAACCTCCTTCCTCTAGCTTTGACCACAAAGTAGTTGCAAACTTGTGTTAGCAAAATGGGGAGTTGCGGTGAAGTGTGAGTCTAAGGAAAGGAAGAGGAAAACATCCTGCCCTCCTCCCAGCTAAGCGTAGGGTGGAGTTTTAATTTTAAATTAAGTTCAAAGTTTTGATGATCACATGGGATTATGCACTATTGAATACTGAACTGAGATAGTACTTGCCATTTAACGGGACATAATATTTTATATTACCTCAAAGCAAGATTCTCGACCTTGGCACTATTTACATTTTAGGCCAGATAATTTTTGTGTGTGTGTAGGGGGTTGTCCTGTGCAGGACGAGAAGGACGCTGAGAAGCCTCTCTGGCCTTTCCCCACAATAGGTCAGTAGTACCCTTTCCTCAGTTGTGACAATCAAAAATGTCTCCAGACATTGCCAAGTGTCTCCTGGAAGGATGGGGGTGTAAGTGCTCCCTGCTAAGAATCACTCCCTTAAACTGAAGGAAAACATATAGGACCTGCTTAAGTTCTCATTTATTGGTAGTGAAAGGGCTACTCACACACTAACAAAATGTAAAGGGACTGTGAAAAGCAAAAAAAAAAGTATTATTTTAATGATGTATCTCTCTACAAATAGCATATCTATATAAAAAATACAAATCTGATCTATCATCTGTCTACTATCTATTTATTAAATGAATTGGTTAAGAAAGTACAACCACTATCATGTGAAGCAGTCAATGGGTCTGTCACTTGAAAAGGCTGGGAACCACTGTGGTAGACCAAGCTTCTCAGCTATTACATGTGAAGATGCTTACGTGGTCTGAGAGTTATGGGTACCCTCAGCACTCAGAGCAATGGAGATGGAGCAGCCTGAGCCCCTGGGAAGCTGCTGTTGGCTAAGAGAGTCTTATCTATTTACTCTGGTGGGCTACACAAATGTTTTTATATATATATTTTTGTACATCTAAAGTTAAAAAGGTTTGAGGGGCACTGCTTTAGACCTGCGCTAAGCAGTGTGGTAGTCACTAGTCACCCACGGCTATCAAGTACTTGAAATGCAGCTCGTGCCCTAGGTTGAAATAATAATGTTTTGGATATTTTTGTTAACTAAAATATATTATTAAAATTAACATATTATTAAAACTTATTTCTTGTTACTTTTTAAAATGTGGGTACTAGAAGGTTTCAAATTACACACATGGCTCCTGTAGTTCTGGACAGGGCTGTTAGGTGATAAAAAAAAATAAACACGAATTGACTACCTATTGCGTACATAGAGTGCTGGATTTAACTGTTGTGGATAAAAATGCATATGGTCTATGCAGTAATAATACAGCATGGTAAGGAGTATGAGCTGTAAGAGCCTAAGGAGCCTAAGAGGAGGAACTCATGTCATTTTGGAGGAACAGCAAGTGCCTTTAGAACCGACGCACACTGCAAGTGCTTTTACAGGACCATGTGCATCAGGCATCAACTGATTCAAAACTGTATGACTGAAAAAGGCATTCCGAGCACCTTAATATACTGTGCTTACATGGTATCCTACCCCCTTTCATCTGGGGCCGGCTGTGTATGATCTGTGCTAACTGGTAACTGTGTCAAAGCCCCACGGGTCTGGGTTTCCAGCACTGGATGCTAAAGGAATACTTAACATCCTTCAGAAAAAATCGGCCTCAGGGTAATTCTGGTCTCAAGTCTGCCCTTTTCAATAATATGGAATAATCAATCTAAATTTTCACAGGTTACCAAAGGTAATATTTTCTATTCCCCATCTCACCTCAAAATCTTGTCATTTTCCATGACAGAATGCCAAGAAACACAAGACCAAAAGAGGGATTTTTTTTTTTTTTTGCCATTTAGGGACTAGTAAAAATGATGTGATTAAAATGTACTTTGCAATTTAAAACACATACAGACAGTATAAATGTGAAATTGTGAAAATAATTATATACTGAGTTATATCTTTTTGGAACCTGTTAGGTACTCTGTTGATAGTACTCTTAATTAGAGAGATATATATGTATATTATATTGTTTTCAGTACCACCATCTGGCTCCACATGTGAGAAATGTGTGTGAGGTACACTGGTTTTTCAAAGAAAATGAAAGTATATTTTTAAATGCTTTATCTTGTTTCCTTCTCATACATACTGAGAAACTAGCAGTCTTGGATATGATTACACAGTTTTTAACATAGCCAAACTCTCCAAAGTCGCCTCTAATGATGACTTTCCTGGAGACAGACTAGAGCATCAACTTCCATTTCCTGATGCCATAAATAATCGTCCTCAGATGACAAGTCAAATTACAAGGCCTTTGCCATCATTCATTCTGCTCATTTTGTTCTAAGAGGAGTTATGCAGAATTTAAAGTCAATAGATGACTATAATATACGGCATACTTTTTATTAACCAAATAACTTGAAAGCACTATAAATACAAACTAAAAATGTAAAAAGCACATGGTTATAAAGCAAAGTCCATCATTGGGCCCCTATAAACAGCAGTAAAAGTCTTTGAATATTGTGGTTTACAAATCTGATTTTAACAGCCAAACTTATAAAACAGTTTACGCTTTTCTGTTGTCAAGGGAGAAAAACTTGCCAAATTGTTCATTTTAAGTAAATACAACATAACCAATTAAGGAAAGCAAAATTTAAACACATGCCTATGATAATCAGGACATAGTTTGCTTCTGATTTCACTACTGATTTTAACAGAACAGTGTTCCTTCCACTTTCCCACAGCACCCAAGTGACCCCACACATACTTTTAGAAACTTGTAATCACACAGTGCAAATAAAAGGACACTTTACTGGAAAATACACAGTGTGGTACAATAATCCATCATTTATGAAAAATAGAATTCAGCCTTTTCTTTTTCCTCAGAGATTCAACTACTTTTTGAGGGTGAAAGCTTACTGCAATTTAAAGATTTATGTTAAGCCAATGAGCAGTTGTTGTTTTTTTTTTCTGTTGCCATTTAAACTTTTTATTCAAAAAAGAAAAGAGATTAAAGAAATACTGGTTTAAATTCCAAAATATTTAATCTGATTTACCGAGGAATCACTCTTAATTCTACATATTTTCACCTTCACGAAAAGTTAACCTGAATTGGATTAGCTTTCCAGGTATTCTGAAATTTACTTTTATTTCCTTTACCCTCTCTTTTCCCCACTGATGAGTGATCTTTTCTTTCAAGCCCAAACAAATGGAGTATTTTTCAA